TTTGCTCGTGAGCACGTGCAGGGTGCCGCTTCAAGATCTCGAGAACGGCTGGGCCGATTGTGCTCAAATTTGACACATCGCTAGAGACCGGTTAGTAGGGTGTATTGCACAATGCACAAGTTAGTTGGAGGTACCCTCGCAATTTCGCACGCGTAATTGCGTCTAATTGCGTCACCCTCTCGCTTGCTCCGTTGGTCGCCCCAAAAGGCGTTTTACTGGTCAATATGCTTCGAAAGAATTATGATTAGACGTTAGCCCTCTCCGGCACAGGGGCTGGGGGGGGGGGGGGTTAACCCTCGCACGACCAGGCCATTTCTCATAACACGAACGACCAGGGGAGGGGGGGTTGTTACGACCCCCCCTGGCGTTTCGAAACGGAAGGTCGTAGAGCTTAGCGGAAAAAACCAACGGATTGCTCTCAACGAGATCTCGCGATTGGTGGTATATTTTTTGGTCCTAGGTCAACATTTGACCTACTTATGACCGGTCAAAGGTCAAATTTTCCGAAAAAATCAAACTTTTTCAACTTTGCGCAACGATCGCGGCAAAACGGTGAGAGATATTAACTTCAAACCTTCAACAACGTATTCCCCACTCAATTCTGCATCATATATGGTGTTTTTGGTGTATTTACCCTATAAAAGTAAGAGGCCTATTGCTGATGAGTGATATGGTGTCACATCACCCTCCGGTGTTTGTCCCGATTCGTCGGCTGTTGACCACTGCTCCGCTATAAATACTGTAGGTAACGACTCAGAAAAGATATGTGGATATCCACTGCAATGTGGATAGCATCAGCAGAAAACCTCGGGACTCGGTACACACTTCGTGAAAATCCGGCCGGAGGCTGTACCTCTTATGACGTCATAACTCCGTGACCTGACCTGACCCGGTCAATTTTCTTGCACCACACGATAGCCAATGCTTGCCCCAACATGCATGGGAAGTTTCAGCATGATCCATCAAACAATGTGGGTATCACCGGCAGAAAACATAGGGATTCGGCGCACACGTTTGGTAACTGTCGGCCGGAGGCTGTACCTCTTATGACGTCATAACTCCGTGACCTGACATGACCCGATCAATTTTTTTTCGGCAAAAGATGCGCAAAGGTTGCCCCAGAGGGTATTGAAAATTTCAGCCCGCTACGACAAGCCGTTTAGCGTGCACTTCGAAAAACCTCAGGGGGGGGTTGATACACCCCCCCCCCCCTAGGCGTTCTAGGGTTAACCCTCGCCGGACCTATAGGTTTTCTACATACGCGCCGGCCGAGGGGGGCGGGTACGACCCCCTCGCCGTTTCGCCCCTGGTGGAGCTAGCGCGTCGCGGAAAAAACGAGCGTGTGCGCCGTTACGAGACGCAGAGATTGGTACCCGATTTTAAGGTCCTAGGTCGACCGGTGACCTCTGAGGTCAGGTCAAGTGCCCCAAGGTACGGTTCAGTTTTTGGTGAATAACTTCGCAAAAAACGGCCGCAGTGCCGCGATTTTGGCAGCATCGTGTTCGCCTCGCTCAAGCGCGTCGAATGATATACTTTTTTCGGGTCAGGTCAACTTTGGGTGTTGACCTCAGGTCAAGGTCAGGTCAGCACCCCCCAGATCACTAGTTTGTTTAACCCGCGCCCTGCTGGGGGTCCTGGATTTGCACGCCCTGCTGGGGGGGGGGGTGTTTGAACACCCCCCTTCTAACTCGGCTCCTGGGCCACGCAGCGATACGCGGAAGGCGGCATTCGAAAGAGCGTCAAAAATAATGAGGAAATCACTTCGGTCAATTTTTTGGTCAGGTCAAAGGTCAGGTCACCAGAGGTCATTGAAGGCAAAATTTCGCCGATTTCCAGGTCGAATGTCGACAATTTCCAAGAAGCCAACGCATAACTCGGGAACCAACAGAGCTACAGCGCCGCGGAAAAGCGCATTCGATAGCCCTATTAACACGCCCTTTCTGAGTAATTCTCTCAGATTTGACCTAACGTCAACGGTTTTGCCTGCAGGGGGCAAAAACTGCAAAAATAGCCGATTTTTTTCGGAAACAGTTTTTCTGCAATAACTTTTGACCCAAGCCTTGTACGAGCTTACTTTTACCGTCATCGTGTTCCTCTCGTCAAGACGCATCGAATGAACTATAACTTGACCTTGAAAGGTCAACTTGAAAATTTGACCTCAGGTCAAGGTCATGACCTGACCGGAAAGGGTCATGTTGCATATCAGTCGATCCGTATCGTCGAGCTGAACACATCTAAGACATTTTCGTCGCTCTAGCATGCCTCTATCAAAACTTATTTGCGAAAAACTGTTAGATACCATTCGTGACCTAAGATGACCTCAGGGCATAAACAGGGGTCACGGACACCATTTCCATGTTCAGTGTGTCTAAACCACTTGTAATTCAGTGTTTGGGAGTGTTTATAATGTCTTTCGTCCAAAAGAGGCGCATTTCAATTTTCTCCCATTGACAATTATAAGGTCGCAAAATTGACCTGACCTTAGGTCATCGATATCAAAATTCTGAGATATACATTTTGTACATGCTATTGCTCTTAGCAATCGCTGAAAGTTTCAAAGCGATCGGTCACTCGGTGTAGTTATGACAGACATTGAAACTTTTTATGAGGTGAGGTCACTTCAAGTGACCTGGTGACCTGACCTTGAATGACCTTGGTCTGAAATTTTCACAACATGTGTAGAATTGATGTATGATAAGGTGTAACAAAAACGGCGGCGCTCTGCGCCGCCGTTTTTGAGATATTCGCGAAAAACCACAAGGGGGGTGTTCAAACACCCCCCCAGCAGGGCGCGGGTTAAAGAGGTCATGTCGCATATCATACGATTCGGCAGGTCTTCCTGAGTCCATTGGTGACTTCCCTGACTCGCTAGCTCAATTTGATCAAGAGTTATTGACGAAAAACTAATATGACCTTGATGACGTCATAAATGACGTCACGCAAGGTCTGCATCTGACCTTGCAAGGAGTGCATCAAATCACGATTCTGTGTGCTTGAGATGGTTAGAGATCGTTCCCGGCGCCAGAATAGCAGTTTTCATTTTTCCCCGTTGACTTATAATGGTGAGGTCACGAAAATGACCTGACCTCATATGACCTTTAGGAAAAATCCGAGATATACAAGTTGTGAGACTCATAATGGATACTAGATCCTGCAAGTTTCATTTCCCTGTGACATCTCCTCTGGCAGTGAGGGCGTTGCGAAGTTGCGACATCTGAAGACCGTGCAGAGGTTCACTTATGACGTCATAGGTCAGTGACCTGACCTGACCCAAAAATACGGTTGGTGTCAAAAGCTCCGGCTTGAATCAAAGGTCAGGTATGCCAAGTTTCAGCTCTCTATCGCCAGCGTGTTCGGAGCTATCGCGAAAAAAAAAACTATGGGGGGCGGGCCCCCCTCGGCCGGCTAGGGTTAATGCACCCCCTCCTAAGGTTTTTTTTCTTGCGAATAACTTGCGTACAAAGTGGCCGATTGCGACCAAACTTTCAATGCCCTCGCATTGATCAATTTGACACATACCTACCCTGAAAATTTCATGACCCTGACCCAAATGACCTTTGACCTGTGACCTACTTTCCGAGACCATGTTTGGCCGGAATCGCGATTCGACGTATGTCGGCTCGCATTAGCCGCGCGTTTGCAAGCTTTTCGTGGTTTCAAACGTTGAAATATGTGATTTGATGTTGCTCTCATGCATAAGGGTGGATGCCAAGGTCACCTGAAGGTCAGGTCAGGTCATTGACCTTTGGTAACTTCGGCTCACTTTTTCGAGTTTTACTTGTTTCTAGGCTAGTGTTTTGAGCTGAATTCGAATTTAGCATTCATTTGAACATTTACGAATTAGTTTTGGTGCCTTCGTAACATGTTACGAAGCTATCAAAGGCGGTTGACACGTACTACGAATATCCGTCACGACCCCTACTGGTTGACCTGACCTGACCTGACCCGACCTGGTCTAAATGCTTTAAGACATGATCTGTGACCAAAACTAACACGAAATTTGTGATCAGAGCCCCGAAAACCCCCATAGCAGCCATACTTTACGACTTTCTAAAAAGTTCCCGATTTTCCCGATTTTTGGGTCATTGACCTGACCTGGAAGGTCAACCGATGACCCAGGAACTTAAAATTGGGTATCATCGGAATCGTCTCGTGACGGACAACACGCTCGTTTTTTTTCTGCGAAGCACTAGCTCGATCAGGGGCCAAACGCGAGGGGGGGGGGGTGTACTTACCAATCCCCCCTTGCACCGTCGAAGGACGCAAAATGGCCTGTGCCGGCGAGGGTTAATGATAAACATGAACATGAAACATGAAATTAAACCATGAAATTGAAATTGAAAGTGACCTAGAGTCAAGGTCATGACCTAACCATGGAAAGAAGATGCTGCACATAACCGATGCTTAGGTATGAAAAATTGTACACTAGGTGCTTACTAGTGAAATCACTTACAGAAAATCAGGATAACGTTTACTAAAACAATGCTTTGGCGTTAAATATGACGTATGTCTGAAAATGGCGGGGCTATATTTTTGCCATCGATCTACAGATGTAATGAAGTTGACCCTCCTTAGGTCACTTAGAGCTATCTAAAAACAAGGGAAGAAGATTTTCAATGCACCCTTGTCCCTTATCATTGACAAAAAAAAACAAAAAAACAAGGAAGCCCACGCTTCGTTGGTGTATAATTTGGGCTTGTTTGTCTTGAAGTAAAATCCTTATCATTACCTGGTGACGTGACATCGAACACCCCGGGTCGCTTTTACATGTGCGAAAAATAAGTATGTCATAAGTTGAACACACAAAAAAAAAAACGGTAGCGTAGCGCTGGTGTAGCGCCCTCATGATAAAGTTCACCCAACACTTCTCGCGAGTCAAACGAGGCTCATCATGATTGAATAAGGAGTTAGCATTTTCAACAGGATTTGGAGAATGGTTGGGGATTGTTACGATAACGAATGCTTGCACTTATCACTGATTTCACCATTCTTTTTTTCAGATAGTGCCCTGTATCAAGGCCGATGTCAACGTTCCATGCGCTTCTGGGAATGTGAATAGGCTTGTTTGGGCAGTGACACGGCTTGCAGCCGTGACTAGGCAGCGGTAACTACGAAGAGACAACAATTACCGACCCGTCTACACGATATCACAATGCACCGGTGGAGAATAGCAGGTGAGACCCGGTGGTAATCGACCTTTTATCGAATGCTTGTGGCTAACGTGTGTGGCTTTTTTGACCCTCGCCCATATTGGTGTTTTGCCAGCCGCGAACGTATAAGGGGAGAGGGGGGTCCGTTGGACCCCATCCTTGCCGTTTCGCCCCCTGATCGAGCTAGAGCTTCGCGGAAAAACGAGCGTGTTGCCCGTGACGAGAGGAAGCCGATAGTACCTAATTTTAAGGCCTTAGGTCATTGGTTGACCCTCCAGGTCAGGTCAATGACCCAAAAGTCGGGAAAATCGGGACCTGTAAGACCGTCGTAAAGTGTGGCTGCTATTGTTTTTTTTTCGGGGTGCTGATCACGAATATCATGCAAGTTTTGATCAGAGATGATGTCTTCATGCATTTAGGCCAGGTCAGGTCAGGTCAACCAGTAGGGGTCCTGCACTCCTGCCGAGTAGGTATTCGTAATAGGCGTCAACCGCCTCTGACAGCTTTGTAACGAAAGCACCAAAACTATTTCGTTAAATGTTCAACTGGTTGCTAAATTCGAATTCAGCTCTGAAAACTAGCCTAGAAACATGTACGTACAACTCAAAAAGTGAATCGAAGTCACCAAAGGTCAATGAACTGGCCTGACCTTCATGTGACCCTGACACCCACCCTTATGCATGGGACCAGCATCATATCAAATGTTTGAGCGCTTGAAACCACGAAAAGACTGCAAACGCGCGGCTAATGCGGGCCGACATTCGCCGAATCGCGATTCCGGCCAAACATGGCCTCGAGAAATGGGTCACAGGTCAAAGGTCATTTGGGTCAGGGTCATGAAATTTTTAGAGTAGGTGTAAAAATTATTACCGCGAGGGTACTGAAAACTTCGCCGCAATCGGCCGCTTTTTACGCGAGTTATTCGCAAAAAAACGAAGGGGGTCCGTTCGACCCTCCCCCCTTATACGGGCGAGGGTTAACTTACCCAAATCTAGATGACTTTTTATCTAAATCTACGAGTATAGCTCCTACACGGCTTGACGTTTTATTGCGTCAACCTCAGATAGCGGCTGGAAAAGTAAATGAATTGCACCAGAGAACGGTAATGCGATAAAAAAGTTAAATTAATCACGTAAAAGCAATTATAGAAAGTGCATTGCAGCTCATACATCTAGGCATGAATTTCACGATTACTCTCCTGAATCATGGCACACTATCTCTGAATGGCGAATAGTTATTTTATGGGCATCAATTTCTGCTTGGGCTTTCTCTAAAACAATAGCAAACCGCGAAGTAACAAAATGAGATTTGAGTAAGACGAGGCGCAGCAATCAGACCCCATTACTATAAAATACAATCTAGCCAGTGGCTGAAAAAAAAAACTATCCAAATAAAGCAGCCGACTGTTTTTCCGCGGTGATTATGAAGAAAGATGCAGTGCTTAACCCAGTTTTGTTCTCCGTTTCCAGCAGCCGTGGCGCTGGCCTGCGCTGCCGTCTGCCTGGGTGACGATACTACCGAACCAAGCATAAGCCCTTCGCCAGCCACAGCCGGAACCATGACGACACCAGAGTCGCCGAACTCCGGGTCCACGGTCGCTGCCAGTGCCGGACCTACGGCCGCCTCTACAGCTGCCAGCGCCGCCAGCGCCGCCTCTGACCCAGGGGGCAGCACGGCCGCGGCCGACCCGGCCACCTCGGCCTCCTCCGCGTCACCGCCGGCGACGGATGACGTCAGCGCGTCGACACCGACAGCAGCCGACGGTGACGGCGCGTCGACCGCGGCGGAGCCGTCTGCGGAGGGCGAGGCGGCGGTGGAGGTGACGACGACGGCGGCAACTGAGACGACAGAGGCTCCGAGCCCGGCGGCGGCCGTCGACAGCTCGGCGGAGACGGAGACGACCGAGACCGCCACAGAGTCAACAGAGGGCTCAGCAGCCACTACAGCGGCGGTCAACTGCTGCAGAGACAGCCACGACGGCATCTCCAGCTGCCCAGACCTCTGCTGAAACGGTCCCGGAGGCAACGGAGTCTCAAGCGTCTGGGTCACCGCCCGCAGCGTCCACTTGACGGACCATCGGAGCCTGAGACCACCATAGCCGCAGAAACGACGGCCACCACAGCAGCTGATGAGACCTCAGCGGCCACAGAGCCCCTGTGTGTGACCACCACACCCCCACCAGCGCCTACCACCCAGCCATCGACTGCAGCACCGACCGCAGCGTGGGACACATCTCCAGCGGTCTCCCCAGCTGGGACGCGGCCGCCGAGCCCCGGGCCGGCTGGTGTCAGCAGTGCGGGGACAGAGCCGACAGCTGCCTCCCCGGCCGTCAGCACCGAGCACCCGGCTAATGTGACAGCCAGTGAGCGGACCAGTGAACGGACCACGGCCACACCGCCCGTGGAGACCTACGGCTACCCGAGGGTAAGCGGCGCCTCTGTGTCCCGATCCCATCTAATCCCCGGTCCGCTGGAGTCATCAATCAGGCTGGGGATAAAACGGCACCGCCAGGCATCAGACGTCTGCCTTGGACCGTCCTCCCCGATTCGCCATAGACCGTCTCCGGACCCTCCCTCCCCTCCCCTCCCTCCCCTCCCCTCCCGACGCTCCCCTCCGATCCTCCTGGCGGGCACCTCTCCGCTTTCCTGACCCTCCCCGAGCCCCTCTGATCCTCCCAGCGCCTCCGCACACTGGGCCGGGGGTCCGGAAAAGTGCTAGAAATTATTTGTGATTGAGTCGTTGATCTCAGTGACAAGCAAACATGCTAAAAACGAAGTGGGGCTGCTTAACCCTCGCCGGACCTATTGTCGGACCCCCCACCCCCTCGGCCGGCCGAGGGGGGAGGGTTCGTACTTCGTACGACCCCTTTTTGCCGTTTCGCCCCTAATGGAGCTAGAGCCTCGCAGAAAAAACAAGCGTGTGCGCCGTTTCAAGGCGGAACGATTGATACCCGATTTTAAGGTCCCAGGTCAACCGGTAACCTCTGAGGTGAAGTCAAAAAGCCCAAGGTAGGGTTTGGTTTTTGGCAAATAATTTCGCAAAAAAATGGCCGCAGAGCAGCGATTTTGGCACCATCGTGTTCGCCTGGCTCAGGCGCGTCGAATGGTATGCTTTTTGTTCGGGTGAGGTCAACTTAACCCTCGCACGACCAGGCCATTTCTCATAACACGAACGACCAGGGGGGGGGGGGGTTACGAGTCGTAACACGACCCCCCCTGGTGTTTCGAAACGGAAGGTCGTAGAGCTTAGCGGAAAAACCAACGGATTGCTCTCAACGAGATCTCGCGATTGGTGGTATATTTTTGGTCCTAGGTCAACATTTGACCTACTTATGACCGGTCAAAGGTCAAATTTTCCGAAAAAATCAAACTTTTTCAACTTTCCGCGGCGATTGCGGCAAAACGGTGGGAGATATCGACTTGAAACCTTAACTATCGTGTTTCTTGATCAATTCTCTATCGTTTGGTATGTATTTCGTTTCCCTAGCTCTAAAAATGGCGCGTTGGGAGCGCCGGAAGTCGGCAAGGTCACAGTCGCGG